TGTAAAATACGATTCCCTGCCTGCAAATCTCTTCGTAACGCTGCTTGAAATCGGTTGTTTTCTTGTCGAATTGAAAATGTTCCAGTCTCTCGCAATCTATTAAATGTCAACATAAACACTCTTCGGTTTGGCACTCTTCTGTTTGGAAATCGTCGTGCATATTCTCGCACCGCCTTTAAAGCATTACCGTTGCAGAAACCGTATACAAAAACCATATCAGCATATTCACTATTAGAATACGTACGCGGCATATTGCAAAAGACAAAATTCATCTACTGTTAAAGGCTTTCAAAGAGCGACTGACAAATTCATAACAGAAAGTGGAAAATGTAATCAAATATGTCGGTGCTAGATATGGCAAGAAATGTAAACATTTTTTTTCGATTTCTCTGAAACGGAGCAAAAACGAGCATATGTCTATAGGACTTTTTTTCTTAGTTTTTTACTCCTCTACACGCTCCCGAAGTTTTGCGATTTAATTTGGAAACACCCTGTATAGCGCTTAAACACGGTGTCTCATTTTTAATAATGAATTAAAATTCTTTGAAAATATTTATATAATGGTTTCTACTAAAAATGTTTCAAATAAATGTTGTTTGGTTTCGAAAGAAATAGCGACCTTTATTTGATCTTGAGAGTCTCTGCGGAGGTGATTTCATAGTCAACAAAACTTTTTTAGTGAAATTATAAGATTTTTAAGGACGCGAGCGAAGAGAGCTAGAGAATTGTAAAAATGTTTATCGATTAATCGATTTTTGGTACGAGGGTCAGTAAGAGTCAAACAATTTTGTAAAGGGATCTTCTATAACGCCGTAGCAAATCGATTCCACTCATCATTCTGCAAAAATGGTTCAAAATGATTAAAAAATAAACATTTTACAAATTATTTTATATTTTATATAAGATATTTTTTTTTACTTTTATGTGATACTTTATATAAATAAAGTCATTTTATGTGAGCACGCTAAAATAGCACTATGCTAAAAATAAAAATAATTACTTCATTTAAAAAATTTTTAATTAATATTTTATCTTAATTTTTATTTTCTTTAAATGTATTGTAGATAACAAAACTTAAATAGAATTAAATGAAATTATTATAATTTTATTCAATATAGTTGTTGCACATGTGAACATGTATCACAAAGTGGTTGATACACAGTAATAGCTTGCATCAACTACATCGATTAAATGCTAACATATTGCAAGGAAATACTTCGCAGTTACTTAAATCTTAAGTTAACCCTTCATGGTTACACTTCTAAAAAGCCACACGATGGTTACTCTGGGTTAAAATGACCCGATCCATCTTTAAAGTGTTACTAAATCGATAGTATTAGTTGCAATGATTTAAAAAAAATACAGTATATAACTTCATCCTTTAAAAAATGGAACTGTGGCGTTTTTGGTGAAAAATTTAATTTTAACATTAAAACAAAATCGTAAACATGTATTAAAATTTAGCGTGAAAGACGATACTCGGGTCATTTTGATCCAGTGTGACCATAAAGGGTTAAACAAAATTGAACAAATGTGTCGAAAGTCTCGGATTTATGGTTTGACCATCTGGCTTTGTACCATGAATATAAAATTAAATTTTTGAATCGAGGAGAAGCAACTTGATTAAATATATTTTTTTGTTTGCGAAGGAGGAGAAAAATCTTCACTTAGCCCATCATCCAGGATGCTCCGAGGAGAAAGAACCTAATTGGATGATAGCCCAATTAGTAAGACGCCCAAGGGCCGGTCCTCTGGCTGTGTAGGGTTCGAAGCGCCTACATTCCTATAGAGGATAGCAGACACATCGCCTACCTGCTAAAAAATTCACCCTGTGCGGTACTATCGCCCGACTTGGGGGCACCCCGGAACCGCCTATTCGGCATTACGTCAGGGTGTACCCAGGTCATGGAGCAAAGCTCCCTCCACAAGAGTCCGGTACCTCGCACTTATCTAACCTAATCCTGAACATAGTTAACCCTAACCTAACCCTTTTTTTTTTTTTTTTGACGCTGAGAAATGCATTACGCATATCGCTCACCTAGGGGGAGCTAGGTGAGCGATTATGTCGGACTCTCCCCCGAAGGTTACTTACCGTCGGGGGCCTACCGACTAAAACTCAGCGGGCGTACCTAACCGCGCGCGTTATAGGACCTGGCCAGGAACTTCTCAGCTGCAGTACGTCTAGCCAGGCCCTCGCCAGTCGCTTATGCGATCCTAACCATGCATACTGGGGTGCGAAGAGACGCCGGCAATCCGCACCCCCCTATCTCTGTGTTCCAGTGGAAACTCAGCCTGTACCCGTCTCGGTGGGACGGCGATTCCCCGTTCGCCGTCCCACGGGTCTCCCGGGGGGTCAGACTAGGTCTGACTCGGCCCCCATCCTGCTTACTAATACACACCGTGTTTTTCGAGGTCTAGTCATCCCGCTAATCGGTACGACTATTTGACCCTCCTAGTTGTGCATAATGCACTTGGGCTGTAGGAAGGAGAGGACTAAGTTAGAGATGGAGAAGCCCTCCCCTATCCTACAGTGTCGGGATAATTTCTTACCCCTCGCCATCCCGATAGTCGGTCTGGTTGTCCCG